ATTCCACTCCACCCTGCTATTAGTACCATTTAGTTTTTCTTAAACCAGTTGAAAGTTTGTTGTTTACATTAAATTCCTTTACCTCTGACTTTTTGCACGTGGTTTTAAACCTCTGATAGTTCCCTAAGGCTTGTTATGAAGTGTGCAACAATCTCCTGGCCAGCTTCTGTTTTTATTTCCTTTCTTTCTCAACTTTTACTTCATTTGATTTGATTTAGGATTTACTTATTTGAAAGGCAGAGTGACAGAGAGGGAGAAAAAGACCACCAGTCCAGTGGTTCAGTTCCTAGATGGCTGCAGCAGCCAGATCTGCTCAGGCAGAAGGCAGGCGCTGGGAACGCCGTGCTGGCAGGGACACAGGCAGCTTCCTTCCCAGGTGCATGAATAGGGAGCTGAATCACAGTGGAGCCGCTCAGTGCGCTGACTTCAGTTGCTGCTGTCATAAGAAGCCTTGTAATTTGCCACAGCACAACACTGGTCCTTGTTTTCTTCAGCTTCAGAGGCAGCTAGCTGCTTTCAGTTTAAACAGATTCTTTAGTTATCACCACATTTCTAACTTAATCTGCAATGTTACTGCATCATTTTTTTTGAAGATTTATTTATTTTTTATTGGAAAGGCAGATACACAGAGGAAGGAGATACAGAGAGAAAAATCTGTGCACTGGTTCACTCTCCAAGTGGCTGCAACAGCCAGAGCTGAGCTGATCTGAAGCCAGCAGCATCTTCTGGGTCCCCCACATGGGTGCAGGGTCCCAAGGACTTCGATCATCCTCTACTTCCTTCCCAGGCCAAAAGCAGGGAGCTGATGGGAAGTGGAGCAGGCAGGACATGAACTGGTGCCTATATAGGATCCCAGCGGATACAAGACAAGGATTTAGCCACTAGGCTGTCACGTTGGGCCCGATGTTACTGCAGCTTAACCTTTCAGTATTGGACAGGAGTGAGAAAGCCCCCATCCACTGCCTTACTTCTCAAATGCCTGCATTGGCTGTGACTAGGCCAGGCTGATGCTGGGTACCAGAGGTTCAGTCTGAGTCTTCCATGTGGGTGGCAGGGACTCAACTGCTTCAGCTATCACGTGCTGCCTTCCAGGGTGTGCATTAGCAGCCAAAGCTGGAATCAGGAGTAGAGCTGGGACCAAAAGCAAGGCACTGTAGATGGGATGCCACCATCCCAAGTGGCATCCTAACCGTTAAAACAAGTGCCCATTCCTGGTAGTAGGCTTTGGATGGTTTCACAGTACTGGGGGAGGAATCTTTTCGGAAGGACAGGGGCAGGTTTGGCTTAAGTGCAACAGAGATTGCAGGGGTGGAGAGGGCATCATGCAGTGTTAGATTGGAAACTTGGCTTGATGTCCTGTTGTTGGGCCTGTTCAAGGGTTGAGGCTTTATCTTGAGTAGGGGAGTATTTTGATCACATTTGTTTGGGGAGGATAATTCTAGTATGTGAAGAGTCCTGGTGGCAAGAGACAACAGGGGAAGGAGGATGTCGGTAAAACTTCACTGAAGGAAGAGGCTTTGGAAAAAAGCCAAACTCTTCTATGAAACTGTGTCATAAAATGAAATTGAAAAAAACTTTTAGAACTTTTTTTGAGTTACAAGCTAGTCTACTCTAGAAGTCTCCAACTCTGCTTGTTTTTGCCTTTGTTATATGGTGTGTCTTGTTTCTTCTTAAGGTGTAGAACATTTCAGCTTCCTTAACGTTCCCTGGTATTCAACAAGATACAGAGATTCACTGCTGGGGGCCTGTCACAATGACTCAATGGCTAAGTCCTTACTTTGTAAATGATGGAATCTCATATGGATGCAGATTCATGTCTAGGCTGCTCCACTCCCATTGAGCTCCTTTCTTGGTCTGGGAAAGCAATAGAGGATTGCCGAAAGCTTTGGATCCCTTCACCTGTGAGATAGAGCTAGAAGAAGCTCCTGGCTCTTGGCTTTGGATTGGATCATCCTTGTTCATTTTGCAATTTCTTGAAGAAATATTTCTGTTGCTGGTGTTCATTGGAGATCTTAAATCTCTTGTATAATACTAACACAGTGTCACAGTGTTCTTACCTGCTTAATTTTAATAGATGGATGACTCTTGTACCTGGAGGAAATGATTTTCTAGTATTCAAAGTATTATTTTTTTAAAGATTTATTAGCTTTTATTGGAAAAGCAGATATACGGAGAGGAGGAGAGACCGAAAAAAGATCTTCCATCTGCTCATTTACTTCCCAAATGTCCTCAAAGGCCAGTGCTGAGCCGATCCAAAACCAGGAGCCAGGATCTTCTTCCAGGTTTCCCACGTGAGTGCAGGGTCCCAAGGCTTTGGGCCATCCTCTGCTGCTTTCCCAGGCTGTAAGCAGGGAGCTGGATGGGAAATGAGCAGCTGGGACACAAACCGGTGCCATATAGGTTCCCTGCACATCGAAAGCGAGGATTTAAGCACTGAGCCTTCATGCCGAGCCCATTATCTATTTATTTATTTGAAAGAGCGACAGTCTGAAGAAGAGACAGACATCTTCCATAACTGCAGTGGGTAAGGCCAAGCTAGTCCGAAGACAGGAGCCTGGAACTGCATCCTAATTTCCCATTTGGGTGACAGGGGAGCAAGTATTTGGACCATGCTTCACTGCCTGCTGGGAGCATTAGTGCACAGCTGGATTGGACCCTGAGCTTCTGGCCCTCAAGCAGGTGCTGTGTTCCAGGCAGTGTCTTAATGTGCTGTGCCACTGTGCAGGCGCTCTAGTATTTTTGATTACCTAGTTGATCGTGTAACTCTCAAGTTAGAATGACTAAAAGGTGTATCAAGAATCCACATGGTGAACCCAGACTTTGAAATGCACTTTACGGGAATTTATAGCTGTGTTTTATCTGAAAGCTTAATCTCATTGATAATCTACTTGAAAGTATCAGATCTGGGTTCCAGAAATGCCCCTTTTAATTATGTAATCAGCATAAGTTAATTGTAGCTTTCCCGTAAGTTAATTATTCCTTTGCCATTTCACTGCTTTTGAAAGGACAGCGAGATAAGGTGTATTTTCATTCGTTCAGCAAGTGAGTTGTTACTTTCTATCATAGTAGCAGCAATCAAAGGAAAGGTTACTATGTGTTAACCATGGGTATCATCTGGGCACTGGATGTGTGTAATGCAAAACAGACCTGGTGTTTTCCCAAGTGGAATATTAGATACAAATGCCATGATGATAGTTTTCAGTATTAGTTCTTAAAGATCAAATAATTTTGTTGTGTTTGAGTTGTAAGATTTTCTGTGTTTGGGAGATTGGCCTATCAGTGGGCCCGTGCATTCTGCTCTTATATGATCAAGAGTCACTGGTATTGAAGTATTTTAAAATGGTTTAACCCGGGTCCTGACTGTGAGCATCCCCCCTCCCTGACCTGGTGCTGTTGGGTAGGGTTGGGTTCGGGTCAGGAGGGCCTTCTGTGTCCTGTACCTGATCCAAGTACAGTTCATTCATAAATAAGAATGAAACAGAAGGAAGTATAAAAGATTGATTTATGCATTATGGCCCTTCTTTTTTTTTGTGTAGGATACTTTTAAAGATTTAAATAGAGCAATAACATACCACTCATGATAACTTCGCTATGAGTTTATGTCTTTGAGATATTCGTAGAATTGAAAATTGAGACTTGATGAGTTTAACCTCCTCCTTCCTAGGTAGTCCAGCAGTATGAATTTTCTTGGTCCTGTTGTTCTGGGCATGTCTGAAATCCAGATGGATATGATTAAAAGAGTTCCACCCACTGAATTCTTGACACACAGGGCTGCTGCTCGTTAGTTAGAGATCACAGGGCTCTGTAAGTTTCCTGGCTTTTTAGTGACTGGTACAGTTGGGAGTAAATCTTTCTTTAAAGTTTTTAACTATTATTATTATTTTGAAGGGCAGAGAAGTAGGGGAACGGTGGAGAGATCTTCCATTTGATGGTTCACTACCCAAATGACTACAATAATCAGATCTGGGCCAGGCCAGATCTTATTGTTTGTTTGTTTGTTTTTAAGATATATATATTTTAAGATATTTATTTTTATTTTGAAAGGCTGATTTACAGGAAGAAGGAGACACACACAGAGAGAAATCTTCCATCCACTACTTCACTCTCCAGTGACCCCAGTGGCTGGAACTGAGCTAAGACCTTCATGTGGGTCTCCCATGTGGGAGCAGGGTTCCAAGGACCTGGACTGTTCTCCCAGGTCATGAAGCAGGGAGTTGGATGGGAAGTAGAGCATCCAGGGTATAACTGGCACCGTTCCAAAGATTTATTTTTGTTTGAAAGGTGGAATTTCAGAGACAAGGAGAGACAGATTCTCCATCCACTAATTCATTCCCCAAATGGCTGCAGTGGCTGGAGCTAAACTGATACAAAGCTAGGAGCCAGGAGTTTCTTCTGGGTCTCCTCTCTGGGTTCAGGGATTTGAGCCATCCTTTGCTACTTTCCCAGACCACAGGCAGGGAACTGGACCAGAAATGGAGCATCTGGGATTTGATCCAACATCCATATGGGATACAAAAGCTTAACCTATTATGCCATGATGATTGATCCCACTCTCCCCCTGCTTTTTTTTTTTAATGAGTTTAATTTGTTTATTTTGAAAGAGTTAACAGAGAAGGAGTGACAGAGAGGGAAAGAATCTTCTACCTTTTGGTTTACTCACCAGATGGCTGCAGCAGCCAAGACTGTGTCAGGTCAAAGCCAGGAGCCAGGGGTTTAGTCTGGGTCTCCCATGTGGATCGTAGTTGCCCAAGCACTTGAATCATCTCTGTGCTTTTCGCAGACCTTTTGTAGGGAGCTGGATTGGAAGTGGAGCAGGTGGGACACAATGCTGGCCCTTAAATTATTTCTGCTAAAAACAAGTATGACCTTCTTGGATTTTAGTGTTTCATTTGACTGTTAGAGAATTCCTAGGGCTGATCTGACACAATCTGAGGAATTACATTGTAAGTGGAAGGCTTTTCTTACTGTGATTTAAGTAAATGCTTTTACTTCTCTTTCAGATCCATCATGTTACACAAAATGGAGGGCTGTATAAAAGACCATTTAATGAAGCTTTTGAAGAGACCCCCATGCTGGTTGCAGTACTTACATATGTGGGCTACGGAGTTCTCACCCTCTTCGGGTATCTTCGAGATTTCTTGAGGCATTGGAGAATTGAAAAGTGTCATCATGCAACAGAGAGAGAAGAACAAAAGGTAATTGTGGAGTCTAATTTTATAGTTGGATGCCTATTATGGAAATTTTAATGTTTTCACCCCTAGTATTTTCCTTTAGTTGATGAAAATAGCTGGATTCTGTAAAAGCATTAATATTTTAAAGGTTTTTTTAGGTGAGAATATGAATGACCTACATCTGAGAACCACAATCCTGTTGAATTTTTGTTTTGGTTTTTAATGGTAAGCAAGGTAGCAAGGTTTAGCAGGAGTAAAGCATCCGTCAAAATGGATAGACACCTCTCTAGACAGAATCTGAGAGAGAGTGTACGGCCATTCGGACTGGAGTAAGCAAGGTTACATGGGTTCATAGGAAAAATGCCATATGAGCTCCCGGCGCATGCAAGGCGAGAACTTGAGCCAGTGAGCTACTGCGCCGGCCCAATGACTAAAGTCCTTGCCTTGCATGTGCTGGGATCCCATAAGGATGCTGGTTTGTGTCCTGGTTCCTCCACTTCCTTCCAGCTCCCTGCTTGTGACATGGGAATGCAGTCGAGGACAGCCCAAAGCCCTGGGACCCTGCACACATGTAAGAAACTTGGAAGAGGCTTCTGGTTCCTGGCTTCAGATCAGCTCAGTTCTGGTCCTTGCAGCCTCTTGCACTGGGAACCAGCAGATGAAGATTTTTCTGTCTCCTCTCTGTAAATCTGACTTTCCAATCAAAGTAAATAAACATATCTTTAATAATAATAAAAGAGCCTAATGAAACAGCACTGTCTCTATTTTATTGATTAGAAGGGTTAAATTTGGGCCTGGCACAGTGTCCTAGTGGCCACTGTGAAGTCCTCACTCTGAACACTCCAGAATCCCATTTGGGCTCCAGTACTAATTCCGGTGGTCCCACTTCCCATCCAGCTTCCTGCTTGTGGCCTGGGAAAACAGTCAAGGATGGTCCAAAGTCTTGGGGTTCTGTACCCATGGGGGATACCTGGAGGAAGTTCCTGGCTCCTGGCTTCACTGCAGTTCCGGCCATTGTGGTCACTTGGGGAGTGAATCATCGGACGGAAGATCTTACTCTCCGTCTCTCCTCTCTGTTTATCTGGCTTTGCAATAAAAATAAGTAAATCTAAAAAAAAAAAAAAGCTAAAAATCACAAGTAATGTTTCCTGAGATACCTAGTTCTGTTGCTGGTTTGTGGGCACAAACAATTGAATTTCCAAAAGCTGTGCATTCTCTTTCTGTTCACAGTTCTTACTGTGTCATATCCCAAGTTATATTTATAGTCTTCCAGAAAGATTGTGTTCTTTTTTTATATTATTATTTTATTTTGATAATTTTTATATATTTGATTAGGGCACAAAGGGTCAAGGGCTACAGGAAAGTGGGTAAGGCCATTGTTTGCACACTCTCTTTAGAACTGGCCTTTTCTCATAGACACGGTAGACTGGGATCTGGTTCACAGATCAGCTCTTCTGCCTAAACAAACCAGACTAACACAGAATGTGGTGCTCTGTTCCGATGGAAGCGAAACTGGTCTGGCTTTTGTAGTGCTAAACAGAGACGGTCATAGTTGTCTCCAAGGAAGGGCTTTATTTACTTTGCTTGTCTTTCCTTCATTTGTTCTTTTGTGTTTTTAGATTTCTACACAGTTTGCATGCGTTAATAAACAGAAACAGGGGATAAAGGGTTTTGGCTTAGCACATAATCCTCCAGTTAGGATGCCTGTGTCCCACGTCTCACAGCACTGGCAGTACCTCTATTTGACCCGCGGTGCTTGATTCCAGCTTCCTGTTGGTGCAGATCCTGGGACACAGGAGTGCTGACATAATTGGCTTTCTGCACCTGCTGGATTGAGTTCCTGGCAGGCGGTTTTGGCCCTTTTCCTGCTAATTTGGACATTTTGGATGTAAACCAGCAAGTGGAAGCTTCTCCTGTTTTCTCAGTCTATTTTGGTCTCTCTGCCTTCTCTCTCAAAAGTTCCTTATTAAAAAAAAAAATGAGGTTAAAAATGCCTCATTGTTACTAAAAGTAATCCAGTTTCTTTTTAACATATGTGTTCATTTTTGGTTGAAAGACAGTTATTAAGTTAGGGAGAGACAGATCTTTCATCTACTGGTACACTCCCCAAATGGACACAGTGATAAAATAGCCAGCCTAAGCCAGGAGCCAGGCGTCATTCAGAGCTCTCACGTGGGTGCCAGGGGCCCATCTTCCGCTGCCTTCTTCAGCACGGTAGCAGAGAACTGGCTCTTTGGACCTGAGGTAGAGCAGCAGCCAGTACCAGCATGTGTGAAAACTGACTTATAGACAAATGCCAGACCTTCAGCACCATAATGCCAGGCAGGAAAGAGTTAACACAGCTAAGTTATGGCGTTTTTCTTTACAAAAATTCAACTCTCTGAGGAAAAAGAGGGCATGTTTGCTTCCTGAAGCTGAGTTACGTGTGGTAAGATAGGCAGTTTTAGGTGTTACACTGGAAGGAGGTGCAGAAGAATGCACAGGGTCATGAAATGCAGATGCGGTGTGTGGCTACTCATTTCACTGAGTGCGTAGCATCCGTAACCACTTCCTGATTTTCTTCCTCATTCCATTCCCAGAGCAGCCCATGTTAGCTATTGTGTCAGTTCCTCTCTATAGAGACACCCTGCAAGGGGAATGAGCCTCACAGGAAACTGAAGCACATGTTCACGCTGATAAAAAGTGGTGGCCTGAGTTTCATAAATTGTATAAAATTCTTAGAATTCTTTACCTCCCAATTCTCTTGTTCTTTGTTGTGTTTTGGATGAAAATATTGCTTTCTTGAAAAGATTTATTTTATTTTTATTAGAAAGTCAGATGTACAGAGAAGAGAGAAATAGAGAGGAAGATCTTCTGTCCGATGATTCATTCCCCAAGCAGCTGCAACAACCGGTTCTGAGCTGATCCAAAGCCAGGAGTCAGAAGCCTCTTCCAGGTCTCCCATGAGGGTGCAGGGTCCCAAGGCTTTGGGCCGTCCTTGACTGCTTTCCCAGGCCACAAGCAGGAAGCTAAATGGGAAGTAGTACTGCTGAGACTAGAACCAGCGCCCCTATGGAATCCCAGAGTTTGCAAGGCGAGGACTTAAGCCATCAGGTTACCATGCTGGGCCCATTCTTGAAAGATTTATTTTTTTGCGAAAGGCAGAGTTACAAGAGAAGAGAGGCAGAAGGCAATCTTCCATTTGCTGGTTCACTTCAAATGCCGTGGACAGCTAGACTGGGCCAGTCCCAAGTCAGGAGCTTTTTCTGCGTCTCTCACATGGTTTCAGGGGCCCAAGGATCTGAGCCACCTCTGTACCTTTCCCAGACCATAAACAGGGAGTTAGATTGGAAGTGGGGCAGCCAGTATATGAACCAGCACCCATTTGGGATGCTGCTACTGCAGACAAAGACCTGTACCATGACACTGTCCCCCCTCTTTTTTTTTTTTTTTTTTTTGAAAGTCAGAGAAAGAGAGATCTTCCATTGTTTGGTTCATGCCCCAAATGACCACAGTGTCTGGGACTGGGCTAGACCAAAGCCAGGAGCCAGGAGCTTGTTGTGGCTCTTCCGTGTGAATGGTGTAGTCACCCAGCTCGGGGGCCATCCTCCACTGCCCTCTCAGGTGCACCAGCAGCGAGCTGGGTCAGAGTGGAGTAGCCCGAACTTGATGAGTGCCCATGTGGGAATCTGGCACTGCAGGTGGTGGTTCAGCCTGCTGTATGACAGAGCCAGCCTCAGTACTTTGTTCCTTTTTATTGCTGAATAATATTCTATCTTATGGAGTGTTCATCTATTGATTTACTTCAGGAATTTTTCACTGCTAAGAAGCTATTCCTTAAATAAATCCCTTAGACCAGATTGGAAATAAATTTTGCCATTGAGCTTTTTGTACTAGTGCCAGTACTTACTGGGATTATTTCTTGGAGTTTTTATTGGGAAATCAGGTATACAGAGAGGAGAGACAGAGAAGAAGATCTTCCATCTGTTGATTCACTCCCCAAGTGAGCACAATAGCCAGAGCTGCACCGATCCAAAGCTGGGGGCCTAGAGCCTCTTCTGGGATTCCTTCCTGGGTGCAGGGAACTTGGTTTTGGACCGCCTCAGCTCAGGCCTTGGAGGCTACTTGTTGAAATGAATCAGCTGAGGGGTGATCTTCCTCTCTGTCTCTTCTCCTCACTGTTTATCTGACTTTCCAATAATAATAAATAAATCTTACAAAAAATTGAGGGCCTCGCGCAGTGGCCTAGTGGCTAAAGCCCTCACCTTGAAAGCACCAGGATCCCATATGGGCGCTGGTTCTAATCCCGGCAGCTCCACTTCCCATCCAGCTCCCTGCTTGTGGCCTGGGAAAGCAGTAGAGGATGGCCCAAAAAACCTTGGGACCGTGCACCTGCCTGGGAGACCTCGAGGAAATTCCTGACTTGTGGCTTTGGATCAACATAGCGCCGGCCATTGCGGTCACTTGGGGAATGAACCATCGGACGGAAGATCTTCCTGTATCTCCTCTCTGCATGTCTGACTTTGTAATAAAAATAAAATAAATCTTTAAAAAAATAATTGAGTACTATTGGAATGTTAAATTGGTAAAGGGGTTTAAAGTGGTTATTAAAATCATAAAAGACCCAACAGTAGGCAGCTGCCTAGGTTGCCTTGTATCTAGGCAAGTGTTACACTGCTGGGAGAAAAGCAGCTAAGTGGGCATTCTGGGCCTGGTTAATGCCAAATTTGTGTTAATTATACCAGTGTGCCAGCATAATTGCCTATTTTTTTTAAAGATATCTGGGGGGAGGGCAAAAAAAAAAGGCATCTGGGGGACGGATGCCTGCATGCCAGCAGATAGTCTGAACCCACGCATGAAAGTGCATGAACCCTGAGTAGGCAGGCAGGGCCTCAGGTTGGCACAGCACACTGCTAGAGGGCTGGGCTTGGGGATCTGCAAAGTCGTGGACATGGGGGCTGTGGATTGTTCAGGGAAGTGGGTTTGGAGATGTGTGGGAGGGAGGACTGCTGAGGGGGAATGTGACAAGTAAGGAGTGAGTTCTG